GGGCGAGAGAAAGGGGGAATGCACTCTGCCCGTGCTCAGGAGCACTCGTTCCAGCCAAAGAGCCAAACAGGGTTGTCCCGTCTTAGACGTAGACCTGTTGAGTGAAATGGGACTTGTCCTTGGCCTGTCTCTCTGAGCTGTTATATCTTGATCTTGTCTTCAGGAATATTGGCTACCAGTCCCACTTTGGTGACATCTGAAGACTTGACAAATACACCGTGCACTCTTAATTATTTAAGTCATTTTGAACAATGCTTGGCCCATAACAAATCCCCCATCTCACTTAGTGTTTTTTTTTTGGGGGGGGGAAGATGGAAACTATTGGTGACCCACCCTTTGGGTACAGTCCATTGGCCAGCTACAAATTGATTGATTGATTGATTGATTGATTTGATTTGATTTGATTTGATGTTTTCTATTAGCAACTCTGCTTAAAGAGCCTTGTGTCTGCATTTTTTATCAACTAACATTTCTCTGCAGAAGGTGTAGAATATCACATAAATATCCCATGTACTGGTCTGCCCATTTGAATTTGCTCACCTTGATACTGTATGATGACACATGGGATGCTGTATCCTATTCAAAAAACAAGGTGCCACAATGCAAAAGGCCCAGGTTCATGTTACCATCCACCATGCATCAGGGACACATTGGGCAGTGGTCTAATCTTAATGAATTAGACAGGCCCAGATTGTTGACAGATTCAAAGATCAAAATCATCCATTAGATTTGTGCCTGAAACCAACCCCTTTGCCAGAGCAGCTCTTTAAGGAGGGCCAGAGATGTTTTCTATTAGCAATTCTGCTTAAAGAGCCTTTTGTCTGCATTTTGTATCAACTAACATTTCTCTGCAGAAGGTGTTTCTCAATGGAAGTTGGGTCTTATGTTTGCGCCTCTGGTTTCTGATGCCAGCAAGGAATAATTTAGATGGGGTTCAATTCAGTGTCATGTAGGAACAAAAAGAAAAAAGAAGAAGAAGAAATAGCACCACCGTTTCATAACACAAACACCTCGGTTTTGACTGTCAATCATGTTTCTCAATCCCTTCTCCCGGTGTAACCAAGATGTAAAAGCACACACGGTTGTTATAATCCGTACTTTGTATGGCACATGTTTATCAATCCCTTCTCCCCGTGTAACCAAAATGTAAAAGCACACACGGTTGTTATAATCCACATGTTGCACTCTTGTCCCCTTGTGTGTGTTTGTGTTTTTCCTTTTAAGCTTAGAAGGATGAAGCAGTCTTTATTGCTTACCAGACCAGTTGCTTCTTATTAATTTGAAATCTTAATTTGCCAGCTGGCATTAACATAAATACAAGCATGAATTATTCAGATATCACAGATTCAAACATCAGACAAGTAATCAACAGCTAGAGCTGTTTTTTTTTTCTTAGTACAAACAACCTTAACAAGAGGAGGAGGAGGAATAAAAGGTGCTGACAAACACAGCTATCCATTTGCAAAAGAGACTAATTCATACCTTAGAAAGCCTTTGAGAATATATTCATACCTTAGAACTTGTCTGTCATAATGACAGTTTCTGTTTGAACACTTGTAGGGAGTTAATGGAATCAGAGGTTGATAAACATCACAAATGTGAAAAATGCGGAGGATTAAACCTTGCTCTTTGGTTTTGAATCAGTAATCCATCTTAATTCTTGCTGAGAATTTAAAATGAAAGAGATGTATTTCAAGTCTCGATATGAATGTTAAGGGAACTTATTTGTTGTGTATCTCTGATCCATTACACTCTTAATGCAATAGAGCTTCATAAACTTGCTGCATCCTTAGCTTTCAAATTCATAAGTACTGACATTTGTTATACCCTGTCACAAAACAAATTATCACATAATTGGTGATCATTGCTAATGGTGCAGCTAAAAAACCTTAATAAGTACTGTAAAGGATTTGACTTTATGAAGCTCTTATCTTTATCCCTGTGATATTTCAAAATATGCTTTATCTTTTATTCATTTTCTTTTGCATATTTGTAGTGTCTGCTACATATAATCCCAACAAATTACAGGAAAAGGTTGCATAGCAGAGAGAATCAGACAGTTTTGTGACATCAAAAGCAAAAAGCAAAGTGTGCTGCTTACATACCGCCCCATAGAAAGTTCTCTCTGGGTGGTTTACAGTTTAATTATGCAGGCTACACATTGAGCACCCAGCAAGTTTAGGGATTGAACTCGAGTAGAAGGCTGAGCCAGCCTTGAGCTGGCTATCTGAGCCCATTGGGATTGAACTCAGATCACGAGCAGAGTCTTCACTGAAGTGCTACAGTTTAACCACTGCACCACGAGGCTCCTCGAATGCAAGCTGTGTCTTCATTGAGGAACTGCGTGACAAAATGAATAAAATCAGGAAAAAATTCATACAATTTCCTCTGGCTCACAAGCAGGTCTTTAGTAATGTACATGGCCCTTAATGACCCACTCAACTAAGCTACACTGTAAGTGGGATGTGTGTATTGTAAGTTACTAAGCTACTTCTAAGGTATGATCCAGTGAATGAATGACTTTCCAAAGCTCCCATTGCTAATAGCCCTGCTTAGGGCTTGCAGAGTCGGCCCATCCCATATTTGGCCTTTCTTTTTCCTACCGCCTTCAACTTTTCCTAGCAGTATGGTCTTTTCAATGACACATGACTTTGTGAACCTTTCACTCAATGATCTCTTGGCACTCTCTCCCTAGATGTAGAGCTGGATAAATGCATTGGCAAAGCAGCTACCATGTTCTCTAGACTAACAAAGAGAGTATGGCTTAATAAGAAGCTGACGGCACATACGAAGCTCCAGGTCTATAGAGCCTGTGTCCTGAGCACACTCCTGTACTGCAGTGAGTCCTGGACCCTTTGTGCATGGCAGGAGAGCAAGCTGAACACCGTCCATATGCATTGCCTCCAACGGATTTTCGGTATCACCTGGCAGGACAAAGTTCCAAACAGAGTAGTCCTAGAACGAGCTGGAATTTTCAGCATGTATACATTACTGAAACAGCGACGTCTACGTTGGCTTGGGCATGTCGTGAGAATGGCTGATGGTCAGATTCCAAAAGATCTCCTGTACGGAGAATTAGTGCAGGGAAAGCACACCAGAGGGAGACCACAGCTGCGATACAAGGAGATCTGCAAGCGGGATCTGAAGGCCTTAGGAATGGACTTCAAGGGATGGGAAACCCTGACATCTGAGCGTTCAGCCTGGAGGCAGGCGGTGCATCATGGCCTCTCTCAATTTGAAGAGACCCTTGTCCAGCAGGACGAGGCAAAGAGGCAGTCCCCAAAGCAGCAAAATCAAGGAGCTGGACAGGGGACAGATTGGATTTGTCTTCAGTGTGGAAGGGATGGTCATTCTCGTATTGACCTTCTCAGCCACAGTAGTTGCTGTTCCAAGAGGGGAATGCACTTCATTTTCGCTCGGAAGAACGCCAGTGAAAGTTGAACAGCTAGTGAGCTGTAAAAAACTACTATACTTTGTTTTCCTGTGCTGAATCTTTTGCTTTGCTTATGAGAAAAAAATAGATATAAGAGTTCTAAAAGTTGGACACGAGAGCCATCAGAGAAAAAACCATCAGATCGTAGCCTCGAATGCTTAAGACGGATGGAGGTGGAATCCCCTTCTCCTAAAGTAGTTTCTAAAGAGACTCGGGAAGCTGCTGAAAAGGATGGATAGAGGTGAAATCCCCTGCTCCTAAAGTGGTTTCTAAAGAGACTGGGAAGCTGCTGGAAAGGAGGGGGGGACAGCTACCTCTCTGAACACTTATCGAAGTCAGCATGGAAAAAAAGATTGCCGATTTAACAACTTGTGTGAAAGATCTGGCTAAAAGGGGAGAGCTACCTCTCTGAACACTTATTGAAGTCAGCATGGAAAAAAAGATTGTCGAATTAACAACTTGTGTGAAAGATCTGGCTAAAGATATATCGTGCCAGATTGATAGAAAACTGGAACAGGTTCTTTCCAAAATAGACTCTTTAGTGAAGGAATGTCAACAGATGGGAAAGGACATGAAAGCAGTCCAGGGAGAAGTACAGGGGATGAAGGCAAGCATAGTATAAGTGGAGGACAGCGTAAAGCAAATGGAAGATCTATCAAAACAGAACGAAGGGAAAACAAAGGCACAACAACAGAAGAGAGACAACTTGCAAAAGATAGTGATTTATCTAGAAGATAGCTCAAGAGGCAACAGCATCAGAATAATGAATTTTAAGCAGCAAAAAGGAGCTGACCTTAAGCAGGAAGCGGTGGCCTGCATCAAAATAATGAATCTTAAGCAGCAAAAAAGAGCTGACCTTAAGCAGGAAGCGGTGGCCTGAATAAATTCTATTATGAACTCCCAGCATGTGGCAGAAGAGGATT